ACGGAATAATAAAAGCATTTCTATTTCTCACAAAGGTTCTACACAGTATACAGAATTTTTAGCGCAGTTTGTTGCATAATATTTCCTCTCAATCCAGGATCTTCAACTAAGATAACGGTTTGTATTACCTCACATGACGTAATGTCGTTTGATATGAAGAATGATATGAATATGCGTGGTGTCTTTTTTCGTCACAGAAAATTACATCCTAGTATATTGTGCTAAAACACGTTAACCGAATAACCCCTAATCCGCTTGAGAGTGCCTTGGGTGTTCCGGACTTTGTTTCAAAAGGTACACATCCTATCAGGCTCTGGCGGTACTTTGCCACTTTTTTCTTGTGGTTAATACGCAGGCCCTTAGAGCCCATATTTCAGGTGCACCAGCTAGATAAGTTTATCGGATAATCTTAATACTTATTCATTACGGTAGATTACGGAGGATTCTCGCTGAAGGGTCTACTTTACAATGTTAATATTCATTTAGGTATTTCTACTGGTGATGTAATTATAATCGTTCACGTCCCACCTGTATATCACCATTCTAACACACACTTCTCCAATTTGAATCTTAATGCTTCACTTTGCCATTGTAAGGCGTCTCACTGTTGACATTGACGTGATGCTTTACTACTGTAGGCTTCCTACTTAGGTAGCCACAAGGCCGTATATGGAATGACTGCTTGTTCCTATTGCCTGCTCTAATTGTGCATGTGTTCACTTACTTCCAGCCGACAGAATCTTGTTCGGAATATTCTTGTCAGTTTTCGGGTATTTGGCAGTTGTGTTTGGTTAAAAGCTTCGAACGTAATTCACCAGGTACCGTTTGTTACCTCGTGCTGAGACTGTCTCGGGGTCGGCACACAATATCTGTCTTCATATTGTCGAATATCACGTCTTGCCAGTTGCTGCTTATCGTGGCATTCGTAACTAAACACTTTAAAAAGTATTTAACACAGTTTACTTTTTTATCCTGACTGCCCTTCAGTTGTTAAGTAGATGACCAAGGCGATGATGCCATTGTGTTTGAAACTTTTAAAATTGTGATGGCGTTAGGGATGAGGACGTCCCACTTGGACTTCAGCCAAGTGAGTAATGTAGAACTTCGGACAAAATATTATCCAGTTGCAAATTATCTGAAGGAGCAGGAATGTTCAACTCCCTTTTACTGGTAGTTGTTTGGAAACAGCTTCTTGGTCGCTTTTGAGTTTTTCAGGCCTTTGATCAAATCTTCGTGAATCGCTTTATACGATCTCTTGTTTCGTTTCGCAATTGAACTATTGGTATCACTTATAAGCGGGTAGTAGTTAGCCAGTTTCGGTCGAGCGAAATCACCCTGTTCGGAGAGATTTGTATTGTTGTGACTGGTTCTTTGTTTACAGGGGGGCCGTCCTGTGGGTATTCTCTCTCTTCCCTCGTGTGGAAATATGTACAGCTGCCATTATGCTTTCTGAATTGTCTTCGGGGATCGAATACGAAACCAGAGATCCCTCCTTTTACATGCTTTAGAGTAATTTGTGAACTTTCAATGGATTCCAGTGACAATCACTAATTGTAAATGACTATACGTAGATAATTTTATAAATCAGTGTTCAAGAGTAAGACGCATCCGGATACGTAAAAAACAGGCCACAGTGCCGACATCCATCATAGGAGCCACATGTTATTAACACGCCATGTAAGGATATCACCTTTCGCAAGCCAACCTTTCGTTTCAGCATGTTTTCATAGGTAAAATGAAGGTGGCCAGCTACGACCCGAACTTCAGAAGGTAGTTCATTTTGCATTACGAGACTAGAAGAGAGATGCAATCATAGCAGGAGTTAATTTTGGCTGCTCCAGACATGTCTTCTCAACTATTTTAAGCAGCTGAATTCTGTCATGACGTTTACGACGCTACGCGGGAAAGTACATTGCGACAGCTTTTATCCTCACTGTATTACACCACATACTTTAAATCAAATATGATCATACAGTTTCTTCGAAGATAAGTCTGGTGAACGAGGAAACGAACTAGCCTCTAGCCAACGAAAGATCAAGGAGCATTACCTGACTGCCAAACAGCATGCTTGAAGAAACGAACGATAACGAATATTGGTGTGCGTGATGGCGGAATTTTAACAGAAGGTAATTAAAACAGAGTGATGGCATATATAGAAGTTTCCCATGGCCAGGAACAGCGAAAATCTACCACAAATTCAAATTTACAACTCAGCATATTCACATTTAGTCTTAGTGACAGGCTTCTATAGTACTCAGGATAAATGGATGAGAAAGTTTTGTTATTATTTGATACTTTTAAAAAACCCATGGTGGTGAACGAAACCATTTTGTAAAAAAACTTCATTCGAGTTTGACCGCGGATTGATATCATTTAGAGAACTGTTGAAAACCAGGGAGCACTGGACAGCTTTTTATCCTAGTTTGAGAATCATCGGTAATACGCACCCACTTGGGTCCGAACTCGGAAGTTTTTCGGAATTGATAAGAACAAAGCTATTACATAAGTCCACCAATCAAGGTTGAAGTTCGGAGCACACTTGGATCAAAATGCACAGTGGTTAGGACTCTCGCCTACCACGCACATGGTCCGAGGTTCGATCCCCTGCCAACGCACGCCTGATATCTATGATCGGCCTGCGAAATTTGGGCTACCGATATCCATGCTGAAAATTCCATACTTGTACGAAAAATACAGTGTGGAATCAAGCTATAATCAAAAAACATCACAACCTAGGGAAATTTTATCGAAAAGAATAAGACATACAATGGTGTCCCAAACCTGAATATTGACAACGAAACAATAGGACGGGATCAAGAAAAAGCAGAGGCAATGTCAGACTACCTCTGTTCAGTCATCATACAGGAGTCATCAATCCCATAGGATCAGCCCTGGCGGCATCAGAGGAACAAAGGACAGATTCCATTGACGTCGAACAAGACATCGTGCTCGACTACCTAAAAAAGCTAGATGCAGAGAAGTCAATGGGTCTTGATAACTTCATCCATTGAGATATCCCCTCACATAGCCGGACCACTGGCCATGATCTTCAAGCCATCCGTCCTAAATGGAATGTTACGGTGTGACCAGAGAGGCACCCCTATAACCCCTATTCACAAAGGAGGATCAAGACAATTTCCCTAAAACTACAGACCTATTAGTCTCACCAGCATCTCGACCAAGATACTGGAAAGAATAATTAAGAAAGCTATCATTACATAACAGTTTGTTGTCCGGAACACAACATGGATTCCAAGGAAACCTCTCATATCCGCCAAAACTTCCTACGGCAAGAAGGGGCTTGGTCAAGCCAAGGGGGAACAAAGGAATAATTCACATCGTCTTGAAAGGTTTCAGCAAAGCCAGAGACAACGAGGCTCACAAAAGACCACTCAAGAAATTGGAAAGTCTTAGAATCAGAGGCGGCTTACGAAAGTGGATAAGGAATTTCTCCAAGGGTGAGATACAGAGTCAGGTTTAACAAAAAACCTCCCTATGGACATTAGCAATTAGTGGGGCCCCATGGGGCACTGTATTTGTGTGTCCCTCTTAAATAAAAAAATAATTTTCCCTTCACGTTCCCAGTGGAACATAGGGCTCCAAGCTAGTGGCTTGAAGTTTCTGTTAGTGTTTAATTTTTACAGGATGGGGTTGCTAGCCTCATGCCCAACCTTTCCTCTTTACCAGCATTATTTCTGGCTCAGTGGGGTACAGTAGTGCGCCGGCCGGGTATCGAACCCCGGACCATGTGCATGGTCGGCGAGCGTCCTAACCGCTATACCACCGACGCACCCTCTTAGTTATTCTGTATATCAGTGAGTTACCTGTGCTCAGTTATTCCCCTATGGTTTTATATGCAAATAATATAAAAATTCGGAGGAAGCTGGAAGACAATAACGATACGCTCACGTTGCACAGAGACATTAGTGAGTCATCTCAGTTGTCTAAAGAACGGATACTCCCGACCAACGTAGCGAAACGAGCAAGCATGCGAACTGGACACGCAAGAGTCAGTTTGTACGAACTATACGAAATAATAATCCTATCAGTTCCGACTCATTCGGGCTTAGGTTTCACATTAACTGATGACTTAATAACTACAGCACACTTTCATGCAGTGACTGCACAAAGTTTCAGAACTTCATGGGCAATTCGCAGAGCCTTTACCACAGTCATCAGAGATATGTTCACCTCCTTATATACGTCTCTGGTGAGTTCAAGACTAGAAAACTATCCAGGCAGCCATTGTCTTTAATGGGATTCAGATATTCCAGAATGGGTTCAAAGGAATGCAACACGCATGATTCTCGACATGAATATCTTCCGTACAAGGAAGGACTAAACAGTTTAAATCTCCTCTCCCTGTTATACTGTAGGCAGAAAGGAGGTCTCATTACAATGTTTAAAATCTAAAATGATGAGTACGGACTTGATCTGTTCTCTCTTTTCTTTACCGCCAGGTAGGAACACCTTAGAGCACATAGCCAGAAAGTTCGAAAGCCTAAGAGAAATTATATTGCAGTGGAGTACCTGCTGTCACAGCGAGTCATCAAACCCTGAAACAGACTCCTAGAAGGAATGGTGTCAGGGTCCTCCACTGATCGACTGAAGAAGGGCTAGAACAGACACAGAAATAGACCAGGAAAGTATCAATGGAGACTTCAAGCCTTATATCCCTGATCTGCAAATCAGAATCTGAATTGTTTGTTTTCCTATTTCAAGTTGTGCATACACGCGGGCTTACTACTTACGCGCTCATTCCAATAAACATTATTCATACACTGTGAATTTATGTAGAATTCACCGACATTTTAAAATTTTTATTCGAAATTAATGAATGAAATAAACGAGGAAACTACATACAATACATCGGGACCGATATTCTCGGGCTTGTAACTAACTTGCACGCATACCTTGTTACGTAACTTTTAATTATTCGATTCAGTGTCAAATAGACCGTAAACGGTCGCTTAAAATTTTCCCGATATATATACGGAATTATGAGCGGTAAACTGGTCGATGTTGACGTGAACCTGCTTGATTCAACCACACGGAGCTTCCATCTTCCCGTAAGTTATTTAGGATCTATTAGTTGACTTGTTAGTTTATTATCGTTACATCATTCTTTATTTTGTTTTCTGCTGGACCGAACAGATGAATGTCTCCTCTCTGCTTTATGAATCACGCTACATTTCCGATAAACTCCTTTGATTTTGTTTAGTTTCAAGTAAATTCAACAAATTGAAATCCATTTGACTCATTTCTTAGCAAGCAGAATTCAGTATAGCCATATTGACAGGGTTTTCATTTTATCCTTGTCTTATACTTAACAGTAACTCTTTGTATACAATCTTCATGTTAAGGTTCAATAGGACAGTGTCGGTGGCACAGTGGTTAGGACTCTCACCGACCATGCATATGGGCCGGGGTTCGAGCCCACGCCGGCGCACACCTGATATCTATGGTCGGCCTGCAAAATTTGGGCTACTGATATCCATGCTGAAAATTCCATACTTTAAAGTATGGAATTTTCAGCATGGATATCAGTAGCCCAAATTTTGCAGGCCGACCATAGATATCAGGTGTGCGCCGGCGTGGGCTCGAACCCCGGCCCATATGCATGGTCGGCGAGAGTCCTAACCACTGTGCCACCGACGATTAAATAATAATGACTTGAATCAATAGGGTTTAACATCCTTCTAGCTTTTAGTGTAAATTTACAAAAAATACAGTGTGGAATCAAGCTGTAAATCAAAAATAAAAATAAATCTTAATACATCACTAGAGAAAAAAACAGTGAAAGTTGTTTTGCGCGATAGTTCCCAGATAACCTCTATACTTTTGAGGGATTGAAGTTTCCTACAAAGCTTATCTGCCAATGAATATCCTTAAATTTCCTCAGAATACAAGTACGACACACTTTACTTGTGAAGAAAGTAATATGTATACCATATATTTTACAACCTGAGTTCGATTTCGTTTCATATTTTAGTGATGCACTGAGCTTGTGCCAAGAGGGTAAGTGTCTGAGCTACTTTCAACCAGTATAGTCAAAGCACCGTGAGCTTTTCTACGAAAATTTTTAAAAACTCCTATCATCCATGGTTCTAATTCGTATAGGCATAGCACAATGTCTCATACTCTTCCCCAACGAGTGTAACACACCAGATGATTTCAATCACAGTAAATTATAACCCTCTGTAGTGCCATATCTCGTTTTCTGAGCAGAGCTCTGAAATCAAACCTGTGCAACAGCTTCTGTTTAAGTGTGTCTTTGGTTAGGGTGAAACTAGTGTACCTGAAAGCTAGTTTAGTGACTTTATCCAACATTAACATGTTTGGTTAAGATGACGCATCATTTACAATCAGATTAAGCATCCCATACTACATTACTTTATATATCTTGTTTGATCCAGATTCAGAGGCCCGTTTTAGTCTGTGTTAATCCTTGCGATATATATCTCTGCAGAGATCTAATTTCTGCTTGAAAGCGTTGACCAATGGAGCTGCTGCTAATGATTTGGTTAAGGAGTCCCAGTGTTTGACCACTCTGTGAGAGAATCTAAATTCCCCACGTATTTTGTTCGACATTGGTTCGGGCATCTTTTTATGGTGACCTCGTAAATGTATCTTAGAGGGAGAGAAAGGATTTGAAATGTTAATCTTTAAGTCACCCTTTAATATACTGTATGCCAGAATTGTCACCCCTCCCCACTCGGTATGAAAATGGAACGAGATTTAAATGCCTCATCGTCTAATCATAAGGAAGATGTGAGATATCACTAACTAATTTAGTTCCCATTCTCTGCACTCTTTCCAGGATATGTGCCTCCTTCTTGAGGCATGGACTCATTGCTTGTATGCAGTGTTTTAGATGAGGTCTGACACATGTTGCATAGAGTACTTGGAACATACACTTATCCATTCGTTTGAAAGCCCTTCGAAGTGCCCATAGCATTCGAAAAGCACTAACTGAGGCTCTATTACAATTTTCCGTTGTTTTTAGGTCATGGTATACAATAATTTCTAAGTCCTTTTGTCTCTTAACATCTGGCAGTTCTGTGTCAACGAGGGAGTACGATACGTAAAACCTCTAACCTAGGTGCATTACTGCGCTTTTCTTGGAATTAATTCCCAGACTTCAGAGGTTAGCCCATTCAGCTAATTTACCTGGATCGTTTCGTAGTACTAACCTATCATCGTTATTATTTACAGCTTTCCATATCTTAATATCGTCCGCAAATAATAAGGAAGATGAGGTGAGAATTTTTGACAGTTCATTTACTTATAATAGAAGGGGGCAAAGTACAGTCCCCTGGGGTACTCTATGTAGTACTACTTTTTCTCCGACAGTACACCATTTACTCTTACCTTCTGCCTTCTACCCATCAGGTAGTTGCTAAACAACTCACGTAGGCGTTGGTTTGATCCAAAACGGTTAAGTTTATTAAGAAGACCTAAATGGGATACCTCATCGAATGCTTTTACGTTCAGTAGATGGTTCTTATCCCTGACTCTGACCCAATCTTCCCTAGCTAACAATTAATTTGTCAAGCAGAATCGTCTTGTTCGGAATCCGGACTGTTCCACCGCCGGTAAGCCATGTTTCTCCGTATGAGCTAAGAGTTGGTCCCTTATGAGTATTTCTAATGCCTTTGCTATCATGCAGGTCACACTTACAGGCCGGGAGTTAGATACTAACTTCCTGTTACCATAGCTGAAGGTGAGGCTTATAAAAGCATTTTTCCACTCCATGGGTAGCTTAGTCTGGGTCAGAGACATTTGAAAAATCCCCGAAAATTGAATGTATATTATATCTGCCAAGGAGATTAGCAGTCTATGGTGAAATCCATCGAGTTCAGGGGATTTGCCTGGGCTCATTTTAGACGATAGTTTGAGAACCAGTGCACCATCACCTACCACTATTGGGGGTATTTTAGTGGCCATAGCGATGACCTCGCTATATCTCTGAGTGGTACGACTAGATGACAAGACATCGCAAAAGTATTCAGAGACCTTTTCAGCTTTCGTTTCGTTTGACTTGGTGACCTCTCCAATACTGCCTATGAGCGACGTATACCACTGCTAGTTGTAGTCCTACGTTTGATACATGAGTACAGTCCTTTTGAATAATGCACACAATCCAGCACTAACTCTGTCTCATACTCTATATGACTTTTGTCAATCATATACTTACAAAGGTTTCGAATTTCGAGGTGTTCCATCCGAAACTCATTCATCCCAGTCACAGTAAACCGGTCCCATAAGTTCTTTCGTTTTCTAGATAACCTCCATATCCAAGGTGGTTTATGCGATAGTTCTCGAGGCGTCGACCAAGGTACAAAAGGTTCAGCGATGTAATCTATTGTGTTCCTAAATCCCATCCAAGCTTCCTCGACAGTATGGTGTGTATCAACAGACCAGTCGGCTGGAGTTGATGAGTTGTGGATTCCTGGTATATTCGCTTTCCAAATGTTTGCACGAGCAGCTGCTGACCTATATATGACAGCGTGAATCTTAAACGTAAAAGTGATAACTATGTGGTCACCACTGCCTAGCGGCGCCAGGCGCCTAATATCACCGATATCCTCTTCCTAGTGTGTTAGCACCTAGTCCAGAGTAGACGGATCATTTTCAGGGTGGTGTCGTGTTGGTGCACCTATATACTCCACAAGTGCGCATTCAAGCACTGTCAGTATAAGTTCCCTGTCGAAACAAGTGTACGGGGTAGCTGATATTATATATTATTATTGCTCCCTTGGGTTCCTAGTGGAACATAGGGCTTCAACTGCACGTCTCCATTTGCTTCTGTCTTCTGCTGTACTTTTCACCTGCATCCATGTTAGTCCATACTGTTTCAACTTCTCTTCACACGATCTCCTCCATGTCACACTTGGACGTCCCACTCGCCGCTTCCCTTTCGGTAGGGCATTGAAGCCACCTACTATTAGACACCTATTTCTGCTACTCTACGTCCTGAGGTGACTTAGTACACAATCATCAGCTTGGCTGGCAGGATTTCAATAAATAACCCCTATTGTCAAAGTGCCCTTCTTCAAGTTAGTAATACAGTTTGCGGCTTCACCAGTGCCGCTGTCATGAGCTTTAGACAACGTTGATTTAATTCCTATGAAGTTGGAAGCCATGCGTTCACCAAACGCAACGCTTTGTCGTGATAGTATCACCCTGCAGTCTTACAATGTTGGCAATACTTGCCCTACTAGAATTTCGGGATGCTTTGCGTGCAGTTGCAGAATTTCGGTCACATTGTACCTCTTTTGTGTCTATCGCTTCAGGATGTAGTTCTATCTTAGTTTTATAACTCAGTGCAGAATCATTATTCCTGGCATCGATTTCCGATGCTGGCTCTTTTCCCTCATCTGAGATTTTCGTCAACTTTTTAGACATAAGAAGCCTTATGGGCTCTTGGACGAGGACTTCCAACAGGCTGCTACAAAATTTTCACACCCACAGAGATGATGGCTTGATGCACCTCCCATAGGCTGATGGTGATAAGCCAGTGCAAACTTTATGGAACCATAGACTGCATTGATCACACTGCATTCCATCATCTACCGCAAAAGGTCAGCTCTTTTGTCCACAGCTATTAGTGAGACTCATGTCAGTATCAGTTGTTTAAATTTCGCAGACAAATATGCATATATATATGCCATTCTCCTTTACGAAGCGCTCGCGAATGCCTTAGTGAAATCTGATAAGCTTCCCCGAGAAAACTTGCTAAATGTGTGCCACTGACTATAAATCAGCGCCATAGGTGCTACTAAGCAACAATACCCGAAGGGTAGGGTCATTAGGTCAGTAAGGTACCTCATCTGCTATTCACTTGTTGTTCACCGCTGTAGAATAACGCTGAATAACAGTCTGCTGTTTGTGCCACCATTATCCCGATATATTCTATACCAATTTTCATTATTTGTATATATATAATTGAATAAATTCCCAATCAAACAAAAATTAAATACTAGTTTGTTTTTGAATGAAGCATTTTCTGCTTACAATTCACGAATATTGTAATCACAGTGTCTATTGTGGACATCAGAAAAATTTGATTCTCAAAGGATTCGAGCTCACTGAACAATATTTATGCTGTCTCGAAACATCTAATAGACTAGACTTTATCACTATCTAGTGACATCTGTATAGTTCGGTCTAACGTATTTTTAAAATTCAAGTTGGAATCATTTGGTTGAAATAAGCCAAACGGATTTTTGTCAGACGTCCTGAGAAATTAGGCTTACAGACACAAAAGAACCATCCTTAAATAATTTGCCACATATCTCATTCAACTTTACTTCATATACTGACGTTATAATACCCATAAAATATTAACAGATTGGGCTTCTGAATTCGTAGTCCATAAAAGCACACCTACTTGATGAGTTGTTTTATTCCGTTTATGGTGACACATTAGTCATTGAAGACGACAGCAGAAATTTCGTCTCCAAGTATATGGTTAGATATTAACGCTACTTTTCTCTTAGGCTCTTCTCAAAAGAGGTTATAAAGCTAATACCAAAATATTGTAAAAGAATAAGTGATGTAGACAGATGTTTTGTGGATTAGATTCTGCTGTTTTTAAAATTAAAAGCTGTTAAAATACTTGCCACCAAGGACTATTGAGTTTTTGCATCCCATATTAGGAAACATGAGAACTCTGTACACTTGTTTGTTATTAGTGTCTAAAGGATTGTGTTTAGTATTTAAAATACAGTTTCCTCTGGAGCCTCACCTATTCGTAATGCCTACTATATGTGCAAAAACGTAATCCAAGCCCAGTTGCTATTTTAAGGCCAGTCACTTTTCCCTAGTCATTCTTATATATGAGTGCGTATATATATTAATATGAAGTAGGTGGTATTAGAAATTTTATACGTAGTAATTTAACGTTCTTAGTACATGCATTGTATTTATTCATACTAAGTAAGGCATATTATCCTAATTCACACTGAGATACAACATTTTACTTCAAGGTAATGAGAGTTTGTATTAAACTGCTTTTATACACATTTAGCTTTACTGAGTGTGTCATAGTTTTCTTTTATTTATTTTGAAGCTGTTTCCCTATTTTTAAGCTATAACAGAGGTTGTGTATATACGTACACATTAATTTTGTGAAGTCTGAGAAATTACTAGCCAATAAATTCAGGATATTTGTAATAATAACCAAATGTGGTGAATTTTTACATTAGAATGTCCGTGTAAGCTAAAACTGATACTTATGAAGTTGCTTAGCTTAAGAGAAAGAGGTAAAGAGTGATATAACTTTAAGAAGAAATGATATCAGCAAGAATTTTGTGAATTGTTCTGAAGTGGAGGGGACTATGTGGGTCAAAGCTTTGTAGAATGGTTCTTTCTGGTAAGAAATTACCTTTAAAATGTCAAGCTCATTATCATATAGCAGGTCGTAAAGTGGAGGCATTTTTAATAGACAGCCTACTTCATCATCTTCGCAAAACAATCGAACATTACTTTCTCCATACACGTTTTACTCAAAACTCTTAGTTAGTCAAGCAACTGCAGTGTCCCAGGTTGAAATAACAGGATAGCTGAACACTTCACATAAATGAAACTATTGAATTTGTATAAACCATAGCAGTCACTTTGTCTAGGTGCAGAAATATTCTTGATTTTAAAAGTACTTCACTGTGGAATAATGCTGGTATTAATGAAGATATTCTTTACAGTACTTCTTTTTTCAAAGTGAAAACATGAATATAGCAGACCATTCGCATATTAGAGTTCGAAAATACAGGGGAATATTAGCAGTCAAGGTAAACATTTCTAGTGCTTAAGCTACAGTAAGAGCTTTGCAATTCAATAGTCCAGCCCGATGGCAACTTAATAAGAACCACTTGAAGATGTTTTTCATTGTACTGAAATATGTAACGATTCATGCAAATGTAGATTTCCCAGTTAGATTTTCCTGGAAAACTATTTGTTTCTGGTATAGCATTTTGACGAAAAACTAATTTTATATTTAAATGATTCATACCTATTAGTTCCGTATACATGATACAAATGAAACTGATGTTGTTAACTTTTATACTCCTGTTAGTTATATCCTACATACAGAAACAGTAAATTTTTATGATAACAATATTAAAGCACTAAGTAATCAAAGAATCTTTGGGCATTAATCATCAACTGACTGATTTGTCAGTTATAGACCAGAACCGGTCTCTTTATGTATAATAAACTGTTAAGGCAACCCTAATAAAGTGCGCTATAGTGAACTTCAAAGTGGAAGTATGCGGCAGTCATTTTTTAAATTTTTTATTATATCTTGATTCCACACCGTATTTTTGGTACAAGTATGGAATTTTCAGTATGTGACATCGGTAGCTCAAATTTTGCAGGCCGACCATAGGTATCAGGTGTGCGTCCTCAGGGGGCCGAACCCTGGACCATGTGCATGGTCGGCGAGAGTCCTAATTGCTGTGCCACCGACTCACAGTGACACTTATTGATGAATTTAATTTGAATAACCCTGAATAAAAGTTTGAGTGTAGTTTGAAGCAAGCGAGAAATCTGACAGCCAAGGTAGATTCAGATGCTAGGTAGCTTTTATAATAACGAATTCCCATTGAGAGATCAAAAGTGAGTGACTGAGCAGTAACTAAATTACTACTCATTTTTTTTCTAAGGTGATGAGTAGTGTGACAATGTGAACATTTTATGCGCTGGTGTATACGCTACTTTTGAGATAGGTTTATCAGTCGAATTTTCCCAAAGAGTGTAAGAACACTGTCCTGCATGAAGTAGAAGTGGACCTCTGGTCAACACTGATCATCCTATCTCCACAGCCTCTTCATTTAGAGTTATCCATAAGGTGAAAAATAACTTGCCAAAACTACAAAGTATTCAGCTTATCTGTATTGCTAAAGCTTTAATCATCAACATAGAGAAGTCGAAATTCTTTATACAGAAGGAATATGTTTGACCACTCTTTCTTCCGTGGTCTTAATCCATATATTTATAAAGTTATATTTGTAAAATCTCAGCGAAATTGAAATGATTAATTCCAACGTATCGTTCGGCAATCTGGTCCGAACTTCTTCAGGGAAATTAATCATATGAATTAATCCATATATGTTAAAATACTACAGTCCCTATGTACTAACTGATCTTATTTACTCCTCATTGTGTCTAATTAATTTGTATATCAATCCCTTTTTATTTCTAGTGGTATTATTGTTTCCACTTTGGACATTTTCTGATATAATCTCATTTGTTAGCCCTTATTTATTTAGTTCGATATAGTTTTTTGTAACATTATTGTATCGGAATTCTCACCTTCTCATTCCATGGTTCTTTTGGCTAGCAGTCCTATCAATTCCACACCGTTTCTAAGATTTTTATGTTCCATGAGGTTTTTTTATGGATTTCATAACCTATTTTCTCACCTTCTTTTTAACTATGATCATCATCACACCATTATTTTAAAAATTTTGTATAGACAAATGTAAAGTTTGATAATAAATTTATTGAAAAGAGTCTATTCGCTGAATCACTAGTTTTCATTTTCGACATGTTTTAATGAGGACTTTCCATGAATTGTTAAAATTGTCTGAAATAGTTGTAGGCGGAGAGGCTATTACTGATAAAATCGAAGTGGATAACGACTAAAGATTAAATAAAAAAATTGGGTTGTTTTAGACTCCCATTCAGTGATCTTAAACTTGCTGGCCTACATCTCAACTGGGCTAGATGGAGACTGTTGGACTGGAACCTGCCGCAACCCGAATTTTATTTTAACCTTCTATCATCACCCACTGAAACCATTAAATCTGTCACTGAAGTATCTATTTTACCGACAGGACCATGTCTAATCATCTTACATTTATTCATTCTGCACCATAGTGGGAATTATATGTGTAGTAACCTTAACTCTTGTTTTATGATATTCAGAGCACCACTCATTAGCCTCCCTACTATGTATATAGCTAAGATTGCCAGGTAAGTTTAAATAATAAAGAGATACTATTAAAGTCATCTAAGAGCTATGAAAATAACTACTCTAGTAAGATTTTTACACGTCAAAGACAGGGGAGTAATTACGAATAACTTGTCCTTCTGATAGTACGTATACAAAAAATACATGATACATTTTTTAACCTGGTGATTGATTACTTTAAGATACATCGAAACGGTTGCATTGCCAATGCCTAATAAAACAAGGTTTTGCTATGGTTTCATTTCTTGAGCTGATTGATTTGACTGAGAAGCTTTCATTGTCCCTGTAGAAAAAATCTTCAGTACAGGCTTTGATATTAAGTCATCCAGGTCAGAAAACGCAACCACTCACCTGATCTACAAATCTTCTCGATCAATTTATAATGTAAAGTACACAATTAATGTAATAATAACTATCATTAGATGCATATCAGTTTGTTTATACACTAAAGAAATATTTCTATTGGTTTATATATCAAATTAGCAAATATTTTATGATTAATTTTTCAGCTTCGTGCAATCGGACATGAACTGTACACAATGGTGGTTGAACATCTTCAACTGGTCGAATATGATTATTTTGACTTAGAATATATTAATAAGGATGGTCTTCATGTAAGTCATTTTTACCCATAACACGATTTATTTCCAATACTTGATACTTATCTTATTGTAACCTTCTATGATAGTTCAGGATAAGAAAAACGGCTAACTGAGTCTTTTCACAGACAATTAATTTACCAAAATAATGTCATTAGTTGTATCATCGTTCGTGACGAACGTGGTCTAGGGTTTTATTTCCAGCCCATGCACTCCTAAACTCCTCTTAACCTGTAGTAAACCCGGGGAAGAGAGAAGTTTTTGCTTAGGGTTACCAAACTTATGCTGAAAAAAAAACAGAGCTTAGGCTTTAAGTCCTATATCCTTCTCAGAAAGCAAAGGAATGAGGAAAATTATTAGAAAGTGTTAAATGTGCTAAAAGAATGCCAATCACAGAAGTAAACATTGCGTGATAAAGTATGTGGCAACTTTTTTAAAAACCCGGAATGAAACCACGATATCATGTGAAAAACAAAAAGACAGTTAGGAAGAAGAGAAATCTTTATTTTCAGCGAATCCATCAACTAGACTGTGCATTCGTGAATATATAACAAAGGGGTGGGAAAGTCCCAGAACTAATTCCGGCCAGAGGTCAAAATATGACAAATAACAGGAAGAAGTTAAATAATTAATAATAGGGATTGAAAACATAACAGTAAGAACAATAAACAGGAAGTTCGGATAAAGGTCAAAGTTAGACAATAATTTTTTACCGTGAAAATGAACTGTTTATGATGGCCATGGTAGAGACAAAGGTTGAAAGTACTTTCTTTTGGATATACATCGTTGACTGTAAGTTTTGGACCGCTAACCCTTTAGCTATCCCCACACATCCCAATCTCGCTCCCTATGAGTAGTTTGATCGGATCATTTATATGATTTTGAAAGATTTCTCAAATGGAGTAGTGTATCTTTGTAACGGTGGAAGATATTGAGATTTTTCGCCGATGAACGTCTCTTTATAAATTACAGATAAATCTTGTCAGTAGCACACGCCACACATTCCCCATGACATAGTTTTGAGCGGAGCCACTTCAACCTCCTTGGTTCTACCTGGCTTCCTTATTCCAATGTATTAATTTGTGCAGTCGGCTGAAGTTGACCCATTTTTGTTTATTTCCTCTTTTGATTGTATAAACGGGACTACGTCTCTTGGTGACAGTGTATGGCCCTTCCTACTTTGGAAGCAGTTTCCGTGAACCTGGTCGGCATCTAACCATGTACTTTCCCACCATAAATTAGCTAAAAGGTGACTTCTTTGTTGTTTCTTGGATGGTAGCGCGATGTGCTAATAGAAACAGTGGAAGCTCTGTCTCCCAGTTACCTCCCTTCAAGGCGAGCCATTCCTTCAGTAAACGGTTGTCTCCCTCTGTCAAACTATTCGTTTGTGGATGATATGGTGTTGTTCTCATCTTTTCGATACCGATCTGTTGCAAATGGGATGTAAATTCCTCCTTTTAAAAACAAGGACTGTCACCTATCAGTGTCATCTTTGGTGCATCGTAGTCTACGACGATGTATCGACATGCCGCATCACTCACGGTTCTCGCGCGTTGATTAGGTATTGAGACGGGATCTACTCATTGTGTAGCGTGTTCCATCATCACGAGGAGGTACCGAATGCCACTAAATGTCTGCGGAAACATACCCATCACATCTACGGACCACAAGTCACCTACTGCCGTAACTGGAATTGACTGACAGTGCTGTCATATGCACCGATATCCTTTCATCAACTGGCACTGCGGACATACAAGTATATATTTTCTGAATGTGCTAGCTGGTGTAGAGAGTGAGTTTTTACCACCAGCCCTCTCCCATAGTTCTCTCGCCAAGCCAGAGTTCCATAAGCGTTCACTCTTAATCTATCTTTCTATCTGAGTAGCGCCGTTAGTTCCTTACTCGACCCACGCTGATTTACTTCTATTCCGTTAGTGATCATTGGTATTACTCTGTTCAGGGTAGGGTCAAATTTCTGACTACGAGCAAGTCTTTATGGGTATTGCTCCCATGCATCCATTCAGTAAACAATCTCCAGTAACGCAGCCTCATCTTCCGATCTAGATAAAGAATCCGCCAAAGAATTTTCCGCGCCATGAGCGTGTGAGAACCTGAAGTCATACTCCCGCAGGTGCAACATCCATCGCTACAATTTTCCATGTGGATTTCTCGCCGTCACAACAAAATGTAGTGGCTTTAGACAAGTTTCTATATGGAAACGTTGGTCGAGTAAATAAGGTCTCTGCTTTTCAACTGAGAATACTACTGATGAACATTCTTTCTCTATCGTTGAATACTTCTGCTCTGTGTGTGTTATAATATGACTGGCACACGCGACGACTCCTTCACTTTATCTCATCACTGCACCTATTTCATAGTCACTCGCATCTGTGGACACCACGAAATGTTTCCCAGGTACCGGTAGTCTTAACATCATTTCCTGGTGGTCTAAAAGCCATTAAGTGCAGTCGAACATTTTCTGAGAATCTTCCGACAAACTTCGACTCACCTGATGGCCTGTACAGGAGAGCTGCTATTTCGTTGAAGGTTTTCGCAAATCGACTATAAAGTGCTACTTTGCCTAGTAACTGCTTTAACTTAGTCTTGAAATTCGGGGTCTTAGTGATCTTTATCGACAAGTTTTTCCCCGGTAAAAGTTTTCTCACACCGTTTCCTACTTTATGATCCAACATCGTAGCACTCCGTTTGGCTATGTGAGATTTTGTTTTGTCGATACTCATTCCGAGCTCTTCAGTGAGTTGTAACACAGCTTCGACATGGTTCACATAGTCGCTTTGGTTTTGACTGTGCATGGTGAGATTATCACTTACACCTCCCGGTTCTTCAAGTTTCCGAATAACAGCGTTGTCAGTCTTCTGTTTGCAAACGGTGCACCTGCTAGTCCAAATGGCATGCCTTTAAAGCGAAACTGTTTTTGACCCACGAAAAACGCCTTCTTATCTCTGTCACTCTGTTTTGTCGGTATCTGCCAATATCCTGACCAAAGGCCGAGCACTGTAAGCAACTTTGCGCTTTGTAGACGATCCTAGGTCTCCACTCTAGTTGGCATGGAAGAAAGTCTGAGCTCTGTCATGCTGTTTAGCCATCGGAAATCAACACGGAATTCGTACTTCCCATTTGCTTTCTTCACCAGAAGAACTAAAGAGTTATCATCCTATAATATCTCATTCACTCGTAGTGAATAGTTTCATCTTCCTACCACCCAGTGGGATTTCATGCCTCACCTTATAATAATAACCGTAGGGGTCCCCATCTCCAGTGAACAGATGATCGTACTCTCCAACTAATACTGTCATATTCTGTGCTTTCGACGCCGTAATACTTTCTATCTCGCTTGTCTCATACACGCTGATAGGTCCGCACTTCGTAATCACTGTCCTTTCCTTTGTGTTAATTACCACACTCACTTCTCGCAGAAAATCAGCCTCGAGTACTGTTCGCCGTGACTCGGCTACAGCAATGAGCAGGAACATCACTTGGCGATCTCCAATAAGAAAGCCACAGTTTGGCATGTCCATGATGTTTAACACGTGTATACCCACCATCTGAACTGTCGATAAGCATAGCCTGAAGCTCTGACATAGATTCTCATCTATTAGTGAAATTGCTACCCCAGTATCTATTAAATGTACTGCTTCTTGGCTATTCACCTGCAACTTAGAATACATGGCCCCCTCCCAATAGCCTCCACTACTACTACTCTTGCCGGAGAGAAAGAAGAAACATTATACTTTCCAAAATCTTTTCTTCTACGTCATTTTGGGCAGTATCTCCCCCACTGTCATGATTTGCCACATTCGAAGCATCAGTAATTCCTGGCAAACACTCGTAGTGCCTCTACTTGACGCTGCAAATGTTCAACTTTCTGTTCCCATTTGTTCAATTTCGTGGGCTGTGATGTGGCTATCGTTGTGCTTAACGGCTGTCTCGTCAATACTGCTAATTCACTAATGTCCATGGGTTGTGCAGACTTAAACAGCTGTAGTTGCTGAGAAATGTGGTCTGGAGCACTCCCGATGAACTGAGACGTCAGTAACTCTGACTCCGACTCCATCCAATGTGGGGAGTGCGTGACGTGGTATATTCGTCAGCTCCACCGACAACACCAACGGATCTCCATCTGGTCCAGCTTCACGGCAAGAAACTGCTGCATTACCTGTCCATCGAAATCCGCCACCAATCATTCAATCGACAATGGCCAGGCTAGACAGTATTCTCACTCCATTGTTATATTTTCATGAATATATTTTCAGTGAGAAGCATTTACTTGTCGTCCTGTTAACAGTTGTTAACACAGTGAAATTATCAAAAACGTCGTGAATAATACACTCATTATATGCATGTTAGCAATGCTTCTCTTGCTAAAGGTGACAAACAAAAAGTTGATGTTAAACAGATTAAACTGTTATTTTTAAAAACTGTGTTTACTGCTGACCGAGAAACCTTCGGGGTCTAATAATTTAATTTTTTTTAAATATTTTTAATGTGAATGATGTCCATTTCTACACTTCCTATCATCTAATGTTTACTGTCAAACACCTGAACTAAGAAAACACTAAGTAATAACACTTTTATTCAGAAATTACAAAAAGGACTTTTACATGCACACATATACCGTTACTGAATCCAAAGGATTCCTTTAATATTCATAGTTGATTCTTCTTCACAACAATGAGGCTAATATATTCATTTATACCATCTTTCTAGTGGGAGTAATAGAAACCAGCTCCCTTATGATAAGAATATAATTTCATTCATTTGAGTAACCGGAATTATACGTCTTTTGATTCTTTGCCGATATTTCATCTTAATATTAAAGAAAACTTTTATTTCTTCGTAAAACCTATTATTCATTTTAATGAATTTTCGTGTAATTTATTTACCTCGATGAGTAGTTTTATTAACCTCATCTGAAAATCCATTACTTATTAGCTGTCATTGGTGCAAGAATAAATACTGAGAACGGCTGTTATTACCAGAAAGTCACCCTTAGCTGTATGGAACTGTATTAAATTATTTGGGACATTTAAAGTGACCTGGATGAAATGCTGTAAAAGCAGTAAGCGTTGCAGGCAAAATGAAGAAAATAAATGCTAACTTTACAGAATTCCAAACTGTCACAAAACAAGTTAGTATCACACCTATTTTGGATGAAACTGTACTCTGCAGAAACCACTCCACATGGTTATAATTCATAGTTTTTTGTAACCATTTTGTAATGGAATTATTTGAAATTAATTCTTTTTATTCAAATGTGGTAGGAATACGCTATCAAAAACTTTGAGAACTATATTTTTAGTAGTAGTAATGCTCAGTAACTTATTTCACTTAGTGTGATTTATTCTTATGTTTATGCGCATAACTTATTTTTAGTGTTGGTTGGATCATTCAAAAGCTGTAAACAAACAAATGAACCTATCGAAAAGATTTCTGTATTCTTTTGTGGTGAAATTTTATACACCTCATCCGAATTTATTAGAGGATGAATTAACCAGGTAAGTGAATATAAGTTTTACCATTAACTTGATGATAGTTAATTCTTAGGTTAACTTAATTAATTAACTTAATATTCTAGGATTTTTATTTGTAGATATTAACAGAAACTTTAAAAAATGATAAAAACGTTGCCCAGTCTTATTCCAAATAAGTTAACTGCAATATTTATAATTGATTAGCATCCACTGTTTAATGAACGGTACACAACACTTCAATCAGTTTCCTCCCCACTCCTAAACGGTTTTGATTTAATAAAAACTAACGACATACTAATGATGAACGTGATAATCAAATCACAAAACTCTAGCATAAGACCTGACTTATAGAGATTCATTTGAGGCAAATCCAATGAAAGACACCACTTGAGAACATGGTATGAAGGTCACGGTAAATTGATGGTTGTCGTTAAGTAAGAATCACTGGATTTTTGGAGGCGTATCTGAATTTTGATGTACTCACTGTAGCTAAACATAACTCATGAATCCTTTGTCTTAGATTCACAGTACTGAATGTCTCAAGACACTATGAAGCCACATTCAGTGTGTAGTGCGAGTAGCACAAAAAATTTACTACAATACTTATAAGTAATAAGTGAAGTTTAGCTTAAGAAATCATTATCGCTTAATTATTTTCAGTCGTTATGATTAGATGTATTTCTAGTGTATTGAGTGGTAGTGGCTCACTGGTAGAATACTCACCAACTGCGTGAGTGATCTGGAGTTCGGTTTCCAGCAGATGCACTCTTAAACCTAGCTTATTTGGTTGTAGGCCGGTAAACGCTGAGAATTCAAAGGAATAAAATGACACAATGGATGACGGAGCATAAATAGATAAAGCCTTTATGACAATTAAAATGATGGAACTGTTTGAGGGTCTGATCATCTAACTATATACCTTGTTTCTTTCGATTACACAGCATACTACTTTGTTTATTTCTTCTCATGAAGTAAAAATGGCCAATGTGATATTTAGTGTATACATAATTTAAATAAATTTGAAATTAAATGAGTATATCTGAAAAACGACTCAAAAGATTTTGGTCTGATTTAATTCTTGAGGACAGTTAAAAAAACTTGCTGATATTTCAGTGTTCACTTCATTGAGTGTTCAGTGTATAGGCTGAATTATGCTTTATATCCTTAAAGCAAAACAACTTTTACATTATGACTGAATATCTGTTTCTTTCAGATATTTATTTGCTTTACAAATCAAAAATGATCTACGTTCTGGTCGTTTACAATGTAGTGAAAGTACTGCTGCTCTTTTAGCTGCTTTTGTTGTACAAGGTAAGAAACAATACTATTGCATATATATATATATATTATCACCAATGATATTCTTAATTGTGGTGGACTGGATTATGCGTCAGACTATGCTTGGGGAGCGAAGAGTCAGGAATACGCTGGACCATCGATAAGAAGACTCCAGAAGCTCTGGATTTCTCAGGTGATATATGTCTAATATCATACAAATTTAAAGACTTGTAGGCGAAAACCAACGACCTGGCTGAAGAAGCAGTGCTGTGGAGACAGGACTGCAGGTGAACACAGTGAAGGCGGAGGTGATAAGGACAACCAATAGTCAGCAATAGCAACAACAGTCATCACCAATCACCATAAAAGGGAGATATTTGACAATGGCTACCTCCTCCACTTATCTAGGGAGCACAGTTTTAACCACATGCGGAACAGATGCAGATGTCAAAGCTAACCTAAATCGGAAAGGCAAGATTCACCTTCATGAACCTGAAGTCAGTTGGGAAATCTCCTTCACTCAGCCGGCATGAAGAACAAGATTGGGATTTTCAACACCAATGTGAAGTCAGTCAGTTGTTCTATACGGGTGAGAAACTTGCTCTGCGTGTCACGAAAAAAGATTTCCAACAGCCTGTTACAGACTTTCACCAACATCTGTCTTCGCTGGCTCCATACCGAAGATCAGAAGGCCAGCCAGAAAGAATTAGCAGCAAGAAACCGTGGGAATAAACCAACCAAGAGGCGATGGCTCGACAAATATGTAGGAGAAAATGGCGATGGACAGGCATACATTGAGGAGACCATCGAACGATATCTCGCTTAGTGCAGGTCTTTGCTTGAGTGGAATCCGAATGGGAAGTGACGAGTTGGTCATCAGTGCGAGGGTGACGTGTAAAAGGCCATGTGGCAAGGAGGAGAAGAGAGATTATGGTCAATCGTGAACACAGTTGAAAAGGACGGCAGAATACAGAACAAACTGGAGATATGTTTTTGAATCCCTATGTTCCACTCGGAACCCAAAGGAACAATAATAATAGACGGAATGGTCATCGAAATCATCATCACCACTTTTACACTTGCTGGTAACCACTTTTCCATACAGCTTTTGTGTAATATCCTTATTCGTCAAGTGGGCGTTGTGTGTTTCATTGTTGTATGTTTACTGTTTATAAGTAAAACGGTAATAAACATAAGTGTTGAAAATATATTTCTATAATTATTGCAAAATGAAGACCCTTTCGAATACACCTCTAAATCATTGTTAATCGTGGAAAGAGAGAAAGTCCATCTCGATTTATTCATAAAGATGTCCTCTTTTCACTTGTTTAATGTGTCGTTCTTTTAGTATCTCACACTTTTGTGCTTTGCTCATCTCAAAGTGTGTAAGACTGTTTTGATGCATACTCTGGGTGTTTTCAATGAAAGTTCGTTTAATTTTATGATTGTGTTTTATTTTTTTCTGTGTTAAATTAGTTAGAAAACTGATATGGATTCAGAGTCATTTTCCCATGTTATCTAATAAAGGCAATTTTTAATTTGAATCTCTTTATAAAATTTAACACGTTGTTAACCTGAATTTCTAGACAAAACTGCAATAAGCGAACCATAATTTACCGACAACCCATACGATACATTTTTATTTCTTCCCTAAGTATATAACATATGTGTTTTTCTCATTATCCCTTTTCAAGAGTTGGTTTGTAAAGATTAGATTTGTTTTTACGAATTTGACCACGGACTGATACCAGTTAGAGAACCGTTGAAAACCAGGGAGTCCTCGACAGCTGTTTAATCCTAGTTTACGAATCATCAGCAGTACGTACTCACTGCAAGAGTTCAAACCCAGGACCTTCCGGTTACAAGGCAAGCTCGTACACTAGTCAGCCACTGGGACTCAATTCAGTCACCAGCCCATGAATTCTGACTTCTACCAATTCGTGATTTAGCGCGACCATCAACCAATGTCATCGGCGGGAAATCCATCCTCACACTTGACTGTAAGGACGTCATTGCTACGACTACCCACTAGAACTCCTTTTCAGATGGAGAACTAAATCTTTTGTTTCTTTGAATAAGATATTTCCAATACATTTTGAAGATGATGAAGTCATTATATGTCCAGTAGGATTTTTCGTTTCGTAAATGAGCTGAACTAAAACCTTTCTGATGGTAATATGTGGATACTTATTATTCAGAAAGACAGTCATGCAATGATTTTTGTTAGCTTTATTTTACGGTTTATTTTAATTACATCTCAAAAATAGGTTTAGTGTATTATTCATCTCGTTTGGTATGTGTTTGTTACCGGTGTAATCCAGTAGTAATCGAATTCCCCGATTAGTTCATATTTCCTGGTCGTTGTGCCACTTTACATATTCAACTAGGCATTTCATCTTAATTTTACAGATGATGTTCATAAGTTCTTATTATTGAACTTTTATTTTTTGACTGCATTATACTACTGATTTCTCAGTGAACAAAAATTCTTATTCAGTGCTTATAATGAATTCCGTTATTAGTATTGACGCTTTAGGAGATGAAGCATGTTAGCAGTTACGCAAGAAACCGTGTGTACAGATGCAAGCGTTTATCATATAACTCACAAATTACTTGTTCTACTGAAACCAAAGAAAAGTCAAAACAACAATTTTATCATCCAAAATACAAGATAAGAAACGTAGAATGATGACGGTTGTTTCACTAACTAAGTCATGTGCATGAATGACTGAATGCAACACAATAGCGTCCCAGCAATAGGTATGCTTGACCCCGTAACATCAGCTTAACAAGTCAACTTAAACAGTGAATTTCAGTAACTGATATCTAATGATCAATATATTATTATTGTTCCCGTGGATTCCGAGCGGAACATAGGACTCCAACAACACTTCCTTACTTCTTCCTGTTTTCTGCCGTCCTCTTCATCTGGGTTCAGGATTTACAATAATCTCTCATCTCCTCTAACTCACACGATCTCCTCCATGTCACTTTCGCAGTGACGACCCACTCATCACTTCCTGTTCGGACTCCACTCGAGGATGCATGGGACTTACATACAAAGAACTTGTAAGTGTTTACAACTGCAGCTCATTCATCCAGGGAGATAAATGAAACTAAATCTACAAGTGTTGGTTTGTAGGGATTTGATTGGTTACAGGATTTCATCATGAGCTGACATTAGTTAGAGAACCCTTGGAAAAAAATCACTGAATACTGGACAGCTGTTTCGTCCTAGTCTGGTATTCTTCACAGCACGCACCCTTCGGGGTTCGGACCCAGGACCTTCTGGTTACAAGGCGTGCTTGTAGACCATTAGGGCACTGGGACCTGATCCAGTGGCCACGCCATCAATTGTAACTTCTACCAATTCACGACACAAGAGTCTCAAACTAAGACGAAAAAGCTGTCCAGTACTTCCAGGTTTTCCAATGGTTCTCTGGCTAATGTCAGCTCATGATGAAATCCTGTAGACTAAATCTCTTTCCACTGAATACACTTGCAGCATTTAGGTATTTCGTAAACTTATGTATTAATATGAAACAATCAGGCTGCCGAAAATACAATAAATGTTATACTCCGTGTTACGTAATAAATCATTTAGTAGAAACTGGAGGGCTTGATTCACAGCCAAACTATTTCAAAACATATTCAACCTTATGTAGAAATAATAGCAATAATAATACCAATCTATAATGTATTAAAATTTCATTGTAAGTCATTGATTACCTAAATATTTCCCTAAAATAATATTCCTATTTATGTTAGAATGACATTCTATTACTCCTTAATCTATCACATCTATTGATTTTAGCAGACTAATAATAAGAAGTAGAAAGTTTAAGTCAATATACAGTGAAAATAATATTCCTTTAACTTTTCCCCTTATTATACAAAAGCTGACATTTTCACTTTTTATGTGAAGTGTTCAGTTTAAAAGTTTGTTTATGTCAAGATGAAAGTTAGTTGTCTAGAGAAGAAAAGCAGACGAAGAAGGAATGCCAGCATTTCATACTTAAATTAATTTACTTCATCAGATAGATAGAAGTGAAGTTGTTTTGTTCGCTTTTTTTGAGTATTGGATTATCAAAGGGAATTTTTTTCTCTGTTGAGGTTTTACTTCACACTGAATCTTTCAATATGTCAGTAAGATGACAAATATGTATGTTTGACGAAGACTGGTTTTAATTCAGGCAGATAAGCCTTACATAGCCTTATATTCGTTAGAGTGTAATTGTGTGTTAGATGGACGAATAGACAAACTGACACGTAGACAGAAGAATACTAAATCTTTCAAACAGTGAATGGCATAAAATGTAGTGGCATACGAGAAAAACGATAAAGACGTGATGCTATTTCTATTATGCTGTGATCCTATTCTACTTACGAAATATAAATCCTCATATTTTGTGCAAATTTATTAATGTTGCGCTTCTTGACTGTTATAAACATGAAGATTCTGAGGCTGTCTTTGAATGTCCTTCAGACTAAATGATGTCAAGAAATAAGCTTCGTTGAAATATTACGATGCAATCGGGAAAGTTACATATATATATATATATATATATATATATATATATATATATATAATTGTTTCCTTTAATTCCTAGAGGAACATAGGGCTTCAGCCGCACGTTTTCATTGTGTTCGGTTCTCTGCCAATGTTTTCAACTGGTTCCACGTCTGCCCACATGCTTTAATTTCCTGTTCGCATCACGTCCTCCATGTCACCCTCACCACTTCTCGTTTGGGTTCCACTCGAGCTATGGCCTGGTGTGTGGTGTCACTTGGTTGTTTCCTCAGAACATGGCCAATCCACCTGTTTCCATTTCTTCCTGCATATTCATTGCACAATCGGTTCCTTCTCCGCTGGTTAGCTCCCACAGATACCTCTTTGTTGCTTATCTTTCTGGTCGCCCATCTGATCTTGAGTGTTGAGCGAATACAACCGTTGATGAAGGTCTGTGATTTTACCGAATTGCCTTTCGTGACGCGCCAAGTCTCTGGTCCGTATAGTAGCACTGACTTCACAT